CACACACACACACACACACACACACTTTTTATACGTGTTCCTTTTGAAATCATAATTTTAGGACACGGTGCCGCGAAAAACTCGGCCCTGATATGGCCGCGCCTTTTTAAAATTTTTTTTACTGATTTGACATATGACTGCTTTTTACCCCTTCTTATTGTAGTTAATATGCTTCGTAGGTACAGTGCATAAGGGTAAAGGCTCACAAATATGGCATGTTCCTTTGTTTTGTTCACTTGTGTTCATCACATACTCAGCCAGTTACTACTGTTTCCATGCCTCCTGGTATCCGATTGAAAATCTGAAAGTTGTGTTGAAATCAGCTCATCTAATGTAGTTAAACTGTTTACTAATAATTAGTATTGCGCTTTTCGATTATATGTTTCATTATTTTGTTTCAGCCAAATTTTTAGTAAAATATTCTACTTTTTCGCTGCCGCGGGTCTTAAGAAAGAAATGTTTATAACAAGCTTTTATCATGTGATAAATATTAAACACTAACCATTCAGATAAGTTGGATTTAGATTAAAATGTAATATCAGTTTGAGCAGATAATCCAAAACGTGTATGGATTAGTTTAGTCTGCACTTAAAGCATCAAATTAAATATTAATCATGCATTTGCACAGTATTTAATATGGAGAAGACGCTAAGCTTTTTTGAAAGGTGAAATAGACAGCAAGTGCTCAGTGCAGCATGACACTTCAGGACACAAGTCTATAAAAGTATCAAAGAAAAAAAGTACATTTCTAAAAACAATTGTCTTCGAGTTTAAAGAAAAAGTTTTTTTTTTTCGCAGAAATGCTTTCGTACATCAGAAAAAAATTTTGTTGTTGGGTTCTTCAGATTTTATGTTTAATCCCTTATAAATTATAAGATATACTAAAGTTATTCATCCCAAAATAAAACAGAAAATCACGAATTCGATGGCCCTCGAAATTTTGCGTCAAAGTAACTAACGCTGCCGACCTACAGAATGACACTTTGTTTGGCAACAGTTACGAGTATTGCAGACGTTGTATCGATAGAACACTTCATAACTTGGTGGTTAACACATTTAAGTCGTAATCTGCGGGTTCAAATCCTGTCACCGAATTTGCCCATTGGGGGCCTTTAATGTTATGGTCAATTCCACTTTCCGTGGGTAAAGAGTTGGCGGTGGGTAGTGTTGACTATCTGCATTTTCTCTAGTCTATCACGTTAAAATTAGACAGACAGTCCACAGTAGCTTTCCGCTAAATTCAACAAACAAGCACTCACCATACTTTCAATTTGGGATAAATGTACAACATTTTGTTGTACGTACGTAGACGTCATGAAAATGACATTCTTTCTTGAAATTACAAAGGTGTAAAAATGTGCTCATAAAGAAGCATGTGCAAACATGAAAAATTATTGTGTATATTTTTGTTGCATTAGTATCGTGCAACATTTACGACACATTTTAATAACCGAGAACCAACATTTGTTACTGGTATAATTTACTTTTCGTTTCATAATCTATGGAAATTTTAACCTATTGCATTCACCCAACTAAACTTTTGGCTCTTGAACCTAACTAAGAAAGTAAATTAACAAAAACAAGAGGAAATCCTCAATAGCCGTGGCACTTGAAATTCATTTAGGCAGGATTAGAGTAAATTAATCTACGAGACATTGGGCGTGGTCAAATATATCAATCCTGAATCAAAAACTGTAATTAGATCTCAAATCGGTCAAGAGATGGGGCTATGAGCTAAAAGTTCGTTTATCTGTAGTTAAGCACAATGGGCTATCTGTGCTTTACCCACAACGGGTATCGAAACCCGGTTTATAGCGTTATAAGTCCGCAGAAATACCGCTGTCTCACTGGGGGGGGGGGCTAAAAGTTTGTACTTGGGAATAAAAAAAACAAAACTCGGACCCATTCTGTGAGCCACGGATAAAAATTATGAAAACATTTGAAGATAGGATATGACTATGAAATACATTTATTGATATAGAATAGCGTGCGTTGATCTTTCTAACTTGAAAACATGTTTACAGAAGTTACGTCGTAAGCAAAGGAAGCGTTTTTAGAAATCTCTGGCTATAAATAGTATTTTTAATTTCCAGTAAAGAGCCAATCATGTTTTTACAACCTTCCTGTTTGTCATTAAACTTCTATACTTTATCACTAGGGGAATTGAAAGTTCTATTTTATATCGGAAAGAAAGGCAGCTAAAGTTTAACTGGATGTCTGCAAGGTAGGACCTGTTCTTGATTTTATTTTTAAGTTAATTATATATATATAATCTTAATAGCCTATATTGTGTCTACATTTAAATCTTGTGGTGAAACTTTCTATTAGTTTCACAAAACGCGATGATCGTTGAGATCTGATTCATAGTATAACAGTCTTTAAAAATGTTATTATTTGCCTGATACTTATACGAATTTTTAAAATCTCAGATGACAAATATATTTTCGTTGATGATTTTATTTCTTAATGTTAAACCATTCTCGTAGCAAATAAGTTAACGGATATAATTTTGTATGGGTTATTAATAACTTGGTACATAAACTGATATAGTTTTGTATGGGTTATTAATAACTTGGTACATAAACTAACTGATATAGTTTTGTATGGGTTATTAATAATAGAGGTGAGTGGTTATAGGACGAATTAACTTTGTATTTCGGGGCACGTAGTTTTAGCCCCCCCCCCCTACTTCAGTGACTCAGCGATAAACCTATAGACTAAGAACAAGTTTCGATACCCGTTTTGGGTATAACACAACAAAGCCCATTGTATAACTTTGTACTTAACTGCAAACAAACAAATATAAAGTTTTATTTCATGCAATTGAAATTCACCAACTTTCATTTTAAATTTTAAAACTTAATTTTGTTTTCAGAATGTTATGTCCTAAATTTGTTTGAACAAATAGAATACTTTTAAGGCAACAAGTCATCTACCTTAAGTAAGTCATTAAATGAAGTTAAACTTCTGAGTTACAGTGGAATTGTGTCATGTAAAGTATGGCAAGTGTCATATGTTTTGAGCAAAATATTTTCTTCCTAAAAGATAAAAACCTTAGAGCTAAGGAATATATCATTATAAAGACACGAAGAACTATAATTATGGAGAAATTTTGTTTTTGGAAATTCATTAGGCAATCAAAAAAAAAAAGCATGATAGAGCAACCAATCTTAATATAAATGATATATGTGTGTCAAATATTGTATATATATTTATGTTTAATATATTTTTATACTATTGAAATACAAACAAACTAAAATATTTCACCAGAGAAACATAGGTTACTATATTTATACACTTATGTATCATAATTTTCTGGTATTTTGATACATTCGTATGCTGTTAAACAATCAGAAGAGTTGAGGACAAGAAGACCAGCCAATAGGGGTGTCACATGTCATAATATTCAATCCTGAAAAATTACTGTTCACAAGACTACGGAATTAATAATTTAGGGTAGTCATCCGTCAGTTAAAAATATTAGTCTTTAGCTATGCGTACTTAGGAATGATTACACCAGTGATCGAAACGTAATACCTGTTTTAAAAATATCCTTACTTACTGTAAAAGCTGTAACTTGTAATGAAATAATAAACTGTGATATTTTTAGGAAGTTTAGATTATTGTAATATCATCTTAATCCACCTGTTCAAAATATTCAATATTGCGAAATATTAAAGGTTCATCTCTAGTGCTTATTTAGCTACAAATGACAAGTTAGAAATTGTATTAACCTTCTAATTAGACAAGAGGAAATTTACAATTCCAAATAAATTTGAACTTAAGTCAGTTCCATAATGTTTAAAACGAATATTAATTAATTTTCTTATTTATAAGTATTGATAACAGTTATTTACTAAGATGCTAAGAAATACATAAATAGCGACTTTTTAAATAAATCATATTCATTGAATTTTTGTATTCCCTCTATGGGACAACGGCAAGTCATAGGATTTACAATGCTAAAATCAGCGGTTCGATTACCGTCGGTGGAAACAGCAGATAGTCCTTTGTGGCTTTGCCATAAGAAAAGTCATACGCATTTTTTTGTTTCACATATCCTGTTTCGCTTGTAATAGCAGTTGTTCCTAAGTAGTACTAAGTGCATTCAAGTTTCACAAATCCATTGCAATAAATATCTATTTTGAAAGTAATTTTGAAACAATATTTTATTATCTCAGAAGCACTTTCAGTTAAATGTATTATGTCAATTTTTTGTCTTTAATGCAGGTTTCTAGAATGAATACCATTCCGTTGTGTTATATTTTATTTCTACTGGCCAGAATCACTACGGCAGTTGACTATTCAGCAATGTGGGAAAGCATGAACTCCAACGATATTTTATATTCACCAGAAAAGAGCTCAGATGAACACTCGCATAATGAAATGGGTGAATACGACATGGATTACAACAGTGAAATCAATGAACACCACAACTGGGATAATGACCAAAATCACCACTACGACGTTAGCCAAGACCACCATTCTGGACATGACGTGCATAGTAAAGGAGGTAAGATGAACTGGTCTCATTCAATAACCTCTTCGATCTTTGATTTTTCCTTTGTCTGTTTCTCTTTGAGTCATATCAAATATACATACATAAATACATATAGAATGCAAATGAACAACGTTGTAAAAAAAAAAAGGTGACAAAATAACTTTGTTAAACAACAACAACAAAAGATTAAATATAGAAGAGTAAATGAGAGAGGAAAATTATAACTAAGACAAGATTATCAATCCAGTAAATTCTTCTTCAAGATTTATAGACAGGTCTGCCATTTGTTTCTTTGATCTTTTAGAAGATCAATTCTTATTTATTTTGTATATGAAGAGTAATAATTACAGTATATATATTGAAAAAAAAACTGCTAGATGTAAGAATAAAATATAAGAAAAAGACAACAAGCTTGCTCTGTTCATCCTTATGTACCTGTACCTACTACAGAAATCTCGCAATAGATATCTTGGTATTATTTATTTTAATTACAGGAATGAATGATAAATTTTGGAGCTTAATATACCGAGCATTTTGCCATGATACACATATATCAACCTTAGATCACGTTTTTGAATAACAGCCATTACACCACTATAGCCCCACCTGTTGGTGAGTGCAAATTGCTATGTTTCATGTCTAATTTTCCCAGCTCCAAGTTATTATCGATATTTCTATCGTGATACGCTATTATGTAAAGTAAAGATTTGATTTGTTCTTTGTTAACAATAAACATTAAATCCTTTACATCTAAAGACTAATTTACTGAGTTATAAAGGTTGTTACACCCTATTAAAATATACCATTTTTAACTTTCATTTTTTTGTTAAAACGTTTATAATGCTAATTTATTAATGAAATATAAAAATTATTAAAAAACTGTTTTAGGGATTAAGTTATGATTCTCATAATAAAAAGCTAAATCTTTAAGTAAAACTATTTGTATTATTTCAGATTAACATTTATAATATTAAACAGTATAGAAAAAGATGTGGAGATAAATATATATTAAAATGGATCAACTTGGATAATTCTTGTGCATTTTGATCCTGTTTTTCTAAACATTCTAATGTTTTGATTTTTTTTATGAAAAGGATCATCCAATAAAATCATGCAAAATAAAATATTTATCAAAATTTTCTTAAATTTTGATTTTAAAATATTCGTATAAATATATTATTTTTTATTTAATCAAATTAAAAATGGGGGACTTTATACTTTATAATAGCATGAAAATAATTTATAAAAAATAAAACTTTATAAAGTGATAGGCTTTAAACATAAAGTTTATGATGATTTACTTGTGCCTTCTATACTCCATAAATGTATTCAAGATTAAATATTTCCTATGAAATCATTACAACCTACAGTGTGTTTCAAATATACTAAACCAATAGGGCATTTAAGATTTAGCTATAAAAAATTTATAGAAGATCTTAGGTAATTGTATTAATTATAATAGGACACATTATTTCCATAATCATATTATTACACATAAGTTGGAAGTTATTAAAGACGAAAAACCTTAAAATAATTTTCCACAACGGTACTAAATTTATAATTTAAAAAAGTGAAGTATTCAAATGTTTAGAAAAAACAATGATAATTATATTATAAAAATTAGTTAAAAGATTTTATCCCTCTTTTTTTTTTAAATAGAAATCATTTGTTAATAATGCTGTACAAAAACAGCTAAATATGTTAAATCTGTATAAATATAAAATAGATATTCCGTTACAAATATTTGAAATTAATATTAAGGGAATTTCAAAAACAATTTTAAGGCCCCAATTTATAAGGCAACTTGTAGTTTTGGATTTAGGTGAAAATCATATGCATACGTTCTAATTAATGAAATTAATATAACTAAAATAGTTACAAAAGTATATTAAACAAAAATATTATTATTACCCGTCTACAGAAAGCCATAAAAATGGAATATAAATGTTGATTCTACCTAGTTAAATTTACCCTTTTGTATTCAATTCCGAAATTGCATAAATATATATTATATTTATGTTCATTACTAATTTAATAAATACTGATACTAAGCTTGTCACTATTAAACTTAATAAAACTCTAAATTTCCTACTTAATACAATAAATCATTGTCAGACAATGATTTTGATAATTTTCTGAATTATTTAAAACAATCTACCACTTTCAAAATGTTTAACCACTTTAAATTCTCTGGAATCAGTAGTTTTCTACTTGCATGTGATTTTATTACTTTATATACCAAAATATATTCGAAAAGACTTGATAATAGCCTTTACTAGTCTAAATTATTACGTTTTAGTTGCCAATATAGTTATTTTTACGTACAATTTCACTGAAAATAAACTTAAAATATACTTAATTTTGTATATATATAATATCTATATTATTTTTAATGAACAAAAACTGAAATAGGTTATCGTAATTCCAATGGGAGTAATTTTTTTCAAATATAACTAATTTATATCTTTGTTTCAATGAAAATATTTCTTTGAAACAATTAAAAACATCTAACTTTTATTTTCCGTTATATTGATGACTGAATTACTATTAATAATTTAAAATTATTTAATGTAAAATCTCTTCCACATATTTTAGATTAGAACTAAGTAACAATGCTAATTATAATGTAACTTATTTAGATATGGATGTTGTTTTTATGGAAGGAAGAGTACAACTGGACATTTTTAATTAAAAAATAAGTTTGTTTTCCTATCCCTGGTTTACTCTCCCAAACAGCGTGGTTCCTATTGGAAGAAATAGTCATTTCACAACTAAAACCAACAAAAATGATGTGTAACTATTTGTAGAACTTTATTTAAAGATAATATAAAATTAATAGCATATAACTTAGTTTTCAGTGGTTATGAAATTTGGAAATTATTCAAAGAAATGAACCGCTTTTGTAATAAATATTATATTCTAATAAATAGTAAATATTTTATAGATGAGCTTTTCTAGGTCTAGTTTTTAGAGCATTCGATTCGTGAACTGAGGGTCGTGGTTTCGAATCCTATAACTGAATATGTTGACTCGTTCAGCCATGAAAGAGCGTTATAAAGTGGCGGTCCATCACACTATTCGTTGGTAAAGAATAACACAAGAGTAGGTGCAAGACGTTGATTAGCTGCCTTCCCTCAAGTCTATCACTTCAAAATTACGTAGTGCAGATATCCATCGAGTAGCTCCGCGCGAAATTCAACAAATAACGAAACCTTTATAAATGTAATGTTTACCTTTATTTCTAATCTTAGTATTACAAGGTCACCTAGCTATTATAAATAGTGGATTTAAATTTAATTTTAGTATTTGATGTGTGACACATTCACTTCAAGCAGCTAGGTTTGTCAAGTTAGCCCGGTTTATATTTGAATGGTATTGTTAAGGGAGGTTCTCAATTATTACCGAACTATTCAAGTAAGGGTTTTCTAATTCTTGTTATCCAATGACAACAATCTATAGGTGAAGGTTGAGTGTTTCGCGATAGTATAAATTAAGGGTGTTTTATTATTATTATTAACAGGTAGTTCATTTAACAGGTATTTCATGTAACAGTTGTTTCATCTAACAGATATTTATAATCATATTCGACTAATATTTTATTATTATTATGGATAACTACCACACCTACAATACGCTGCAGTCGGCGAGTTGCAGTGGGCTGTGGGACGTTGCAGATTGCAGCCACTATTTGATTTTCTTTCACAACTGTTTTCTTTTTCTTCTGAGTTTCTGGTTCATGTCTGGTAGTTGTAATATCCACAACACTTTTGGGAGCTGTTGCCGAGGACATTTTCTTTAAAAAATATACTTTTTGTACTTTCTTGACAAATGATATAATATTTAATTAAAATATATCTCATTTTAAATCTTTGTCATTGGTGCGATATTGGATCAAATTTGATCATTATTGTATGAATCTGAATTTCATTTTTGCTCAACATTCTAATATTTTGATTTTTGTTATGAAATGTATCTTGAACTTTTCTCACTTTTGGTTTTTAATAACTTGTACCTTTGATGTAGATAACATAACTTGATATTATTGTTATATAGTACTGAATTTTTGTCAACGTATCTTTGATGTAGATAACATAACTTGATATTATGGTTGTATAGTACTGAATTTTTGTCACCACATCTTTGATGTAGATAACATAACTTGATATTATTGTTATATAGTACTGAATTTTTGTCACCACACCTTTGATGTAGATAACATAACTTGATATTATTGTTATATAGTACTGAATTTTTGTTAACGTACCTTTGATGTAGATAACATACATTTATTTTTCATTTATATATATGTATATACACCAACTAAGGATACGTGCTTTTGACCAATAACTGTTACATCATTAAGCCTCGCCTACTGTTAAGTGTTAATTTTTACAAATCAAATGAAAACATAATCTCCATCACCTTCGGTGGCGGAAGTAACTATGTTACAAAATTATGGATTTTTTTTGTTTTATCCAATGAAACATTTTGTTCTGTAAAGATATATATATATATATATATACATTCATATATATAAACAGACAATTCGGCCTATTTCAAGAACAAAAATATTTGGGTAGAAACTTACTTTACACTTTAATAGATGTCGCCCTTCACAAACAATGAATAGGAACTGAAAGTAATCGCAAGAGTTGATGCAATCATATTGTTGTTGTTTCCATGAATTAGGTTGTATTAAGCGTTAATGGAAAGTAATTCTATTAATTATAAGTATAGATGAAAGCAGGCTACTTATGATAAGTATACACGAACACAGGAATGATTTTTGAAAGTATGATTAACTTACTGTTACACTTTTTAAAGTTATAAGAATTACTTAGCTAAGGAGTTGTAACTCGACTACTCTCATAAGTTATTTGATTTATTGTGATCCAGTTTGCAGAGTAGATTTTGATATGATTGTTGCTTTTATTTTTGCATTTATTTCATTAGAAAATAGTTCAAATGAGCCAATGAGGAGTGAAATGGATAAACACGATACCCATGATAGTAAATATATTTTTGGTATCACATATGACAAAAGAGAACCTAAAACTGGCAATAGTGACGAAAAGAATCACAAGCGGGATCACGACCAAGATCATCATAATGACTTCAGCCAAGACTACCATCATGAGCATGAAGCACATGGTAATGAAGGTAAAGTTCGATCAGTGTCCTCTTCCACAGAGTTATCTTTAAACCAGAGGAAAGACACACAAGAAACGAATACAGAATTTACATAAAGAATACAAACAACCCGTTCGCCCAGGAGTTAAATTGCGATTTTGTAAGAGGTGGAACTCCACCCTTTTGGCCAGATTTTTCCTCGTCTACTTCTGTGGTATATAATACAAAAATAAATTAAATTTATAATCGGAGGCGTGGTGGGCAGAGTACAGATAGCCCATTGTGTTGCTTTGTGCTTTCTTACAAACAAACAATCTTCGGAGTTAATTTTATGTAACTTTTTTTTTTTTACTACTCACAGAAATTGGACTTATTTTCCAACAACAAGATTTGTTTGGGGAAAATAATTTAAAAAGAAGAAAAAATTTCACAGTGATATAATTATCAACGAATAATCAAACTAGATTGAGAATTGAAACACTTAGGTGTGAATATACTTTTATTCTTAAACCCAATAGATGTCGCCACATCTTTAATTTTTTTGCTTCTTTCAAGAAATCTTGCTCTGCTATTTAACATCCTAGAGATAACTGCTCGTGTTATTTCCTGTTGTGCAAAGCTGCTTTCTCTGTTTTTAAAAACTGGGTCGTTTTATACAATGTTGCTTTGTCACGCACAGGGAAATGATATTTTTCTTGTATTTCTTTGAGAATCAGAGATATCTCAGAATTTATATTTAGTTGGCTCAAATTGGGATAAAATCAACCTAACATGTAATGTGACAAAACTAGTTAAGCCATAAAATAAGTTAGTCTAGTCTAGAGTATCACTGCTAAATTAGGGACGACTAACGCAGATACCCTTTGAGTAGCTTTGCACGAGATATAAAACAGACCACTAAATTATCGTTGAAAGGGGTCAATTATAATGTTATTTTATTGTTTATTGGTCGTTGTGATGACAGACACTAATCTCTGTAGGATCAATTTCCAATTTTTGGATTAAAAAATCAACTCATTTCTTCTTTTTACAGACCACGATGGCCACAAAGTTCACGAGCATCATCAAGAACAGGAAAACGAGCATGTTATGGGAAACGAAGCTGGATCTTACCACAAAACCATATTATACATCACTGTAGCCTTTATCTGGAGCGTTGTCCTTATGAATTAAAAGACTCAGATAGAAATATAGCTGTACCTTTTAAGTCTAAACTTCATATGTAGCTGATAATATGAATGTCTTGCAAGTTAATACTTCCTTATTGTCTATTAGTTAGATCGGAATCGCCGTTTCAGTATGGGTACTAAAATCTTCGTATTTGTAACAGAATATCTTCAAAATACAGCGCTTGAAATTCAAAGAAGTAAAAAGTATATGATTTAGTATGATATACCAATGCTAGGTTCTTGAGCTACAAATATACTTTTGATCTTCAATTTAAAATATGTATATATATCAATGTTTTTTAGTCAGTGTAATAATCTAAAGATAAATTTTGAAATAGTTGTTTTTATTCTTATAAATGTCTAGAGAGAATAATCTTTAAAAGACTTTAAATAAATAGTTTGACATCCAATCGTAATTACTAAAAACTGTTAGTCAAAATAGACGAATTGACAAAGGTAAAGGATAAAAACTCTGAAAATCATCAGATCAACGGGCTACATGATTTCATCTCTAATATTTGAGAATAAGCCCTTTATATATATATATAGTATAAGTGTGTTTATCGAGCATAATTATATAGTAAGAGTGTTGTTCACGTATCTTGTATTATTTATGTTTAGTCACTTAATAAATTAGATGTGTTGTTTTGTACTTTATACTTCTGGTTAATTATTGTTGCTAATAATAAAGTGTTAATTGTTACATTTTAAAAACCTCAAAGATGACAGGTGTTGTTTCTGAACATATAATCACCTTAGTGAAAGTAAAACTAGATGTATTTGGTCGTCAAGATATTAAAGTCGCGTTTTCGAACACTTTCATTAACCACCACCCAAAAAAACGTACATCACATATAATAGTTAGACGAACTGCCTAAGCGTCACGTTATATAATGTGTAAAGTTTAGTATACTCTAATCCCTTATAGTGATGGCACACGACGAGACACATATTCAGTATGTAATGCTGGTTGAA